CAGGTACCTAAATTTGTTGCCCACACCGACATTTGTCATGTGGAGGCATGAGTGATTTCTAAAGAGTTCCAATGTATATATATTCTACCACATACAGGCCTGCTTCAACTAGTTCCCTATCAGGTCCACACTCTTCTTCTGATTGACAATAGGTGGATCCTTTAGTTAACGGCATGCTGCTTATTGGTTAAGGAACTTGCCTATTAGCTGCTGTCAATCACAAGGGGAGTGGACCCAAGACTAGGGCCTCTGAACCCCCATCAGGTTCCACCCAACCAGCTACAGAACTCCATTGTCTGCGACAAATGCAGCAGTGGGAAGGGAGCTCAGTTGCAGTGAGGATGGAGTGTCCATAAGGGTTGGCCTCAGAGCATCTCCACATGTGGTGCAAACCCCAAATTCATATACCCATTTCCAACAGGTACCTAAAATTGTTGCCCACACTGACATTTGTCACACGGAGGCATGAGCGATTTCTAAAGAGTTCCCTGTATATACTTTCTACCACATACGAGCCTGCTTCAAAAGAGAACAGCGGCGGTTTGGAGGGGCAGGTCATGTTATTCTTCAGCCTTTCAAGCTCAAGGTATTTAAAATTCTGATCTGAAAGCAGGTAAAAAATGTGTTCATTACGGCGTAGGAACACAATGTGCGCTATTCTCCGATCTTTATTAGGCACCATTTCCAGAAGATGATCATTGCACCCCCAATGCCAGGCGTATCAGGCCACAGTGGTGCACTAGCAAAGGTTGGACACCTAAAATACTTGCGCTACTAATAATCAGCTGTCACGTCGTACACGGCGCTCATGACGTCTTTTGACTTTGAACGGGCCAAATAGTTCAATTGTGGTTATTAGCCAGGGCCAGAGGAGAACAATAGAGAGAAAGAGAGAGAGTCAGTAGACAACATGTGAGTGAGTATGGACCAATAAATCGCTGCCCAGAGATTTCGGAGGGGGAGGAGCTCTGAACATTTGTCATGTATTGTTCAAGCTGCTGGGTCATTGCTCATTGACGTTGAAGGAAGTAAAACAAGTGCAGCAATCAGAAGGGGGCGGAATAACGGCTTATTGATATAACCGGCCTAAAGAGAAGAGTAAATGGTGATGCCGGCCACTGCAACCAGACTGCTATCGGCATGTTCCTAGTGCAGGTTAGAACATGGAAGCCGATGTGTGGCTAATCAACTCTACATTTTCTTTTGTCCCCTTCTCTTATATGAGGACTGTACTGAAAGAAATGCAAAAGTGGACATAGCTTTTTTATTAATTTACATAGGTCGTTGAAATTTCACACATTGGTAGAGTAACTCTTCCTCTATGAAAGCCCTTCCTCTATGGTAACACTATCTATGGAAGCCCTTCCTCTATGGTAACTCTCCCTCTTTGGTTACTCTTGCTCCATGGCTGCCCTTCCTCCATGGCATCCCTTCCTCTATGGTAACACTATCTATGGAAGTTCTTCCTCTATGGTAGCCCTTCCTCTATGGTAACACTATCTATGGAAGCCCTTCTTCTATGGTTACTCTCCCTCTTTGGTTACTCTTCCTCCATGGCTGCCCTTCCTCCATGGCATCCCTTCCTCTTTGGTAACTCTTCCTCTATGGTAGCCCTTCCTCTATGGTTAGTCTCCCTCTTTGGCTACTCTTCTTCTTTGGTTGCCCTTCCTCCATGGCAGCCTTTCCTCCTTGGTAGCCCTTCCCCTATGGTAACCCTTCCTCTTTAGAAACTCTTCCTCTATGGCGGCCCTTCCTCTATGGCGGCCCTTCCTCTATGGCGGCCCTTCCTCTATGGCGGCCCTTCCTCTATGGCGGCCCTTCCTCTATGGCGGCCCTTCCTCTCTATGGCGGCCCCTTCCTCTATGGCGGCCCTTCCACTATGGCGGCCCATCCACTATGGCGGCCCATCCACTATGGCGGCCCATCCTCTATGGCGGCCCTTCCTCTATGGCGGCCCTTCCTCTATGGCGGCCCTTCCTCTATGGCGGCCCTTCCTCTATGGCGGCCCATCCACTATGGCGGCCCATCCACTATGGCGGCCCATGGCGCCCTCCACTATGGCGGCCCATCCACTATGGCGGCCCATCCACTATGGCGGCCCATCCACTATGGCGGCCCTTCCTCTATGGCGGCCCTCCTCTATGGCGGCCCTTCCTCTATGGCGGCCCTTCCTCTATGGCGGCCCTTCCTCTATGGCGGCCCTTCCTCTATGGCGGCCCTTCCTCTATGGCGGCCCTTCCTCTATGGCGGCCCTTCCTCTATGGCGGCCCCACTCCCTCTATGGCGGCCCTTCCACTATGGCGGCCCTTCCTCTATGGCGGCCCTTCCTCTATGGCGGCCCTTCCTCTATGGCGGCCCTTCCTCTATGGCGGCCCTTCCTCTTCGGCGGCCCTTCCTCTTCGGCGGCCCTTCCTCTTCTTTTTCATTGCAGGTAAATAATGGATTCCAAGCAGAAGCAAAGTATCATCATTGAGTTCTTGATGAAGGAGGGGTGCAGGCT